TTTTTGCATTTTTCTTACATATAAATAAAAGCTCAATAAACTTGTTGAAATAAATATATTATGTCACAATGAGAATAACAAACACGGATTATTTTGTCGTCGGTGGGCTTTCATAGTATTCGGATTCAGTTTATATTCATAGGTACTTATATCAGTTTTAAGAAGATAAATTTTAAAGTTTTGAAAAATCACGTAAGAATTTTTAGATATTTAGGAGGGAAGTTGTAAAGCTCTGAAAGTGAACTTTTGGTCGTTTATAACACTGTGCAAAGGTTTTGATAGCTGATCGTACTTAACTGCGACCTTTCAAATTCAATGGCGTCTCCCGTTTTTCCCGAATTCGAGGTAATGGTACTTGAAAATTTGTTTAAATTAATTTCCTCAGTTTTAAAGTCATTTTACTAAACTTTTGCACTGCCTTTTGATATTACCTTAACTATTTCTGAAAATCATCGAAATCGGTTGACTACAACATATAGCTCCCACACAACTTATTGTTCAGATATTGGTAATTCCAAACTGGCGTTACGAGACGTTCATATGACAAAATGTAAAAAAAAAGAATTGAAAAAATCAAATAATTTTAAAAAGGTTTTTCTAGATTTGCATAGCAATTAAATGGGATCTTATTCAGTAAAAAAATAACAACTGTCGGTAGTAGCGATTTAAAGATATTAGTAAATTTACGCGTTGGTGTGGCGCTACAAAACGCTGAGGTGGCTTTTGACTTCGATTACAAAATTGCAAAACTCTGCGAATTGGGCAAGGCTATTTGTATAAAAGCTTTTGTAGTAATATTGGAAATGTTTAAGTTTAATTGACGTGACGTTACCTGGCGTTACCTTACTAAAATTTCCATTTAAAAAGTTTTGTTAATATTTTTCTTGAAACAATGTTTAACGCGAAGAAAACATGAATTTTTTTATCGAACGTAGTTTTTTTTTGTGATCAGCGCCACCAGCGGTTTAATTTTTTTCAAATCTATGTCCTACTACGTTTCAACTAAACCAAATGTGAAACAAATCAGAGCATAAATACGGTTTTTCAAAATATCTCGACCCTTGCTCCACCTAACGAGAGCATTTTTGGCAAAAATATTTCTGCTAACATAATCACCATGAGTCAAGTTTTCTCAAGTGGGCCACCCAAAGTTGGCTTTTCGATTTTTTTTTTATTTCATTGACCGATTTTGAAAGTTACCATGGTATGCAATATTGATACCAAAGATTTTGCGCTAATTTTATTTTTTTTACGAGTTATTTGCAATATAACTCATATTAATATTCGATCCCATTCTGCCATATTTTGGCAGTTTCTATTGCATGAATTGTTTTCTAATACCCTTTTTGCCTACTGCGACCGACCAGCAAAAGTTCGCCAATATTGAATTCAATCCTTTTCCAGCGAATAGGTCCTCCAAATACATAATGGATTGGTGCAATCTTTCTCCTTCCTCGTCGGTTTCTATTGAAAGCTGTTGTTCGTAAGTCAAAGTGGCTGTGTAGCATATGGAATTTTCACAAACAAAAGTTGTTTAATTTATTGCAAAGATTTTTTTATTATTTTCTCATCTTTAGGAGTTTCCAAAGATAATGGCATAATAAAAAAAAAAGTGTTCGCAAATTTGTCGATGTCATTAGTGACATTATAGTTTTGACACTCCCTTATCTCCCTTACAAAAGCTTTGCACACACACTCGAACCCACACACAGTGCCTTGCTAAGGGAGCCGATTTTGTCAAGAGGGAGCGAGAAAACTGTTTTCTGAGCAAACCTTTTATTATTGAATTATGGGTTTTTATCAATTAATACGGAAAGCTTTGACTTTGACTTTAACCACAGCTTCACAGGACAACAAATTTATTAAAAACCGTACAATACAAACTGCCAAAATGTGGCAGAATGGGATTGAGAAGAACCCAAGTTCAGGTCCAAATAGTGTACAACCTAAAAAAGTAAATAAAAAATATTACGAAATAAAATATGAGTTATAACGCAAAACCACATTTCTGAACAATCTGTTATGTGGGAGCTATATGTTATAGTCAACCGATTTCGATGATTTTCAGAGAAAGTTGAGGTAATATCAAAAGACAGTCACGTGCAAAATTTTAGTGAAATAACTTTAAAACTGAGGACATGTAGTGCGGAAACTTCACGACATATCTATGTACGCATTAAGTATACACAAATGACGACAAATGAAATTGTACACCTGGTTCTAATGTAATATTTATTCACAATTATTTTCATGAAAATTTGTTTGCCTTATTTATTTATGAAAATATAGTACGTTCTATAATATAAACCATATAGATATGTTTTCACACTTTATATAAAATTTCTCATTTTACATAAAGTTCACAAAAATTAAAAAAAAAAAAAAATCATCCAAATTTTGGAATTTTTTGTTCAGAATTTCTATATGCAGCTTTGTAATTGAACTTTATTCGTTAAGTTATACAGCACTGTTTTGATAAATTTCTGACTTTATAGATTTAAAATCGCATAAAATTGTTATACGACACGTGTATTGTGGAGCATAAGCAGAATTGTTCATTTGCCAAAACAAATAAAAACTAAAATAGGTGGATATTCTAAATTTTAGAAAAAAACTTAAAACAATTTTGTGTAAAAATTTGACGCACTACGAAGAAAAAAATTAATTTTAATAACGAAGTTCTAATTTGGGCTTCAAAACAGAACCCTTCTTCTGTATTATCAGGCAACATGTAAATTGTTGTTGCACTAATACACTTATTAGGGGTGTTTCAGAAGTGCGAAATTGCTAGAATAGAAGGCAGCAACGCAGAACTTAGGGCTAAACACCTTGATTTAAAAAATTTTGTCAACCTCAATATTTGCGGGGTTTGGGGAAAAGTAAGAATCACCAAAATGTTTTAAATGAGCCCCTGTTTTCAAACATATACAACATCGCTCAAGGATTGTTGTCGATTGTACATTCTTTAGCCAAACTTGAAAGGATCTTCTCCATACAAAAATTAATAAAAACAAAATGTCGAAATAGAAGACTTCAATTAGAAACAATTTCCTTTTTAATAAGAACTATAGATTATCTTAATTCTAGTGGACAATGCTGTCATAACATAACATTCATAAAAAGTTCTGACACAGTTGATACTATTTACTGAATTAGTTATTTTTTGGAACTTACTGGCAACTTTGTAAATCTAAAAATATCCATTCATTGTAAATCTTTATGTTTATATACATTTATGCACTTACATAGATGCATTTCAAATCATAATATCTGATGTAAAAGTGGGTAAATTTTTATGTAAATAAAATAAAGTTAATAATTTGTCAATGTTATTGCGGCTTATTAAAATTTAATTTTTATATTTTTATTGAGCTTTATACCACGATTGTTTATTTGGAAAAATTGAAAAAGCACCACATCTCTTCATCAGACTTCTTTTTTCTAGACTTCAGCAGGAGATGTGATCTCCGAAATAGCCGCTTAGACTTTGTTGCTTTTTCAATTTTTCCTAATAAAGAATCGTGGTACAAAGCTCAATAAAAATATAAAAGTTAATAATAATAATGGATTGGCGTTATACATATGCTAGTATTTCGCCGAGCTTCTCCTCCGATTTGTGGAGTTTTACGCCGACTCCGAACGGCGATTGTATTCTTATGAGAAGCTGTTTTTCATGGCAGAGATACACTCGGTGGTTCGGAAGGGCGACCGCTGTTAAGAAAACCCCTTTTTTCTATATTTCTTGCGATGTTGCTTTGACCAAGACTTGAACCCAGGCCCTGCTGCACTGCTTACCAATACACCACAGCGGCCGCTAAATTTTTAGCAACAATTTTAATAATAATATAATTATCAACACAGCTCACAAGGTGTAGTAAGTGTCGTATTGTCGTATGTCGTAAAGTTTTCAACGGCTAAATAAATGTTTAGAAGACTTGAAACCACAACGGTGTGAAATTTCATAATACGACTTTTATGGTATCTTGTGAATCCCTTAAATCAATTTAATTTTAAATTTCTTTAAAAAATTTTGTCAGTTCATCAGATTTAGCCAGTGAAAAGTTGACGTGGAAATCTGCTGCGAGAATTACAGGTCGATCATAACAGTCTACTTATCTTTATTTTCATCTTTATCATTCATATTCATCGTCATCTTCATGTACATGAAATCATCTTCATCTTAATCTTTTTCATCTTCACCTTAATCTTCATCTTCAGCTTCATCTTCACCTTCGTCTCCATCTTCATCTTCATCTTTATTCAAAACCATTTCTTTTGATACCCATATTGGGATACTTTATTTATTTTAATAAATAATTTGAATTTGATTTTCGTATATATGGCAACCCTGTAAAAAACTAAAATCATATTACACATCTACTGGTGAAGCCCTTTCATTTGACACCTCATCTTTTAAAATCGAACGAACGCTACAGATTTTATGACTCGGTGTTAAATATTTAACGCAACCCTCGCAGCAGAGAAATTTTGAATGCGATTTTCTAACATGTGGCAACGCCTTTCATGGAACTTAAGCTATGTTGCACACCCGAAGGACGAGGCCTTTGATGTGACACCTCATTTTTGAAAATCGACAGAACGATGCAGATTTTATGACTTGGAGTTAAATATCCATCTCCGAACTCGTGTAAGAAGTTTCACTTCAAAAACTAGAAATTTTGATGAAAATTTGTTAAATTTTCTTATATTTTTATAAACTAAAACTTGAACAATATTTTTACAGAAAAATAACCAAAAAAATGTAACTTGAAAAACGTTGTGAATATTCAAAAAAAATCAACACGTTCACGTTTCAGTCACTGTATCTTTTTATACAAATGCGCAGCTTTAAGCAAACGAAAAAGCATATTAAAGTATGCAAACATTGTTTTAACATATGCACATAAATCAAATATTCAAATATGAACCACATACGACTCTTACAACAGTGATTAATAATTAAGAAGTTTAACCGATTTTTTTTTTTACCTTAATCACAGAAACACCTGCTAATGAACGTGAGCAACTTTTGATACAAAAGTTAAGACAATGCTGTACGCTCTTCGATTTTTCCGAGCCATTAAGCGACCTAAAATGGAAGGAAGTGAAACGAGCGGCGCTGCACGAAATGGTGGAGTATCTGTCCAATCAGAATGGGGTTATCACGGAGGCAATATATCCGGAGGCAATAAATATGGTGAATATATCTAATTAAATCGCATTTCGCTTTACATTTTATTTAATTTAAACAAAATTACTACTTAAATTCATTTTTAGTTTGCAGTAAACTTATTTCGCACATTACCGCCATCGTCAAATCCTAACGGTGCTGAATTTGATCCGGAAGAAGATGAGCCGACGTTAGAATCATCTTGGCCTCATCTGCAATTTGTTTATGAACTGTTTTTGCGTTTTCTTGAATCGCCAGATTTTCAGCCGAACATCGCCAAACGTTATATTGATCATCAATTTGTGTTGCAACTGCTGGAACTTTTTGATTCGGAGGATCCACGCGAACGTGACTTCCTAAAGACTGTACTGCATCGGATCTATGGGAAGTTCTTGGGTTTGAGAGCATTTATACGCAAGCAAATCAATAACGTATTCTATCGGTATGAACCAATCTAAATACATACATACATACATATGTGCATATGTCCATGTGTGTGTGCCATGCTTATTGCAAATTTTCTTTTGCAGTTTTATTTATGAAACCGAACATCACAATGGCATTGCTGAACTCTTGGAAATCCTCGGTAGTATTATCAATGGTTTTGCATTGCCATTAAAAGAGGAGCACAAACAATTTCTGCTGAAAGTACTCTTACCGTTGCACAAAGCGAAAAGTCTGTCTGTTTATCATCCGCAGCTAACATACTGCGTAGTGCAGTTCCTGGAGAAAGATCCAAGCCTATCAGAGCCAGTCATAAGGTTAGACAAGAAGACACTTTTTGAAGTGAAACTTTTTTAGAGTGGTGGTAATGAATTATGAAATGAAAATCGTCACGAAAATGTAACACTTTGTTTGCAACGGAAGTGCATCTCTCTTCCTTCTTATTTCTCTCTCTCTCGCCACCTATATTAATATTGAATTATCGAAGCGTGGTACGCTGCACTTTTGTGTTAAGTTTAAAAGTAAGATTACGATTAAGGCCAAGGTAAAAATTAAAATTAATAGTTCATTTCCACCAAGCCTTAACTGCAGTTTATGCCTATTGCAAAAAGGAGATTACAACCTGAAAGGGGTAATTGCTCATGTTATGTTGTACAAGCAAACAAAAGTAAAAAGGAAGAAAGTAAAAAATAAACCCTGCCGATTACCCCATGCGAAAATTCGTGCAACTTACCTTTTAAGCTTTTGGTGGAAATAGGCTACAAGATTGAGATTGAGAAGGAAACGAACAAAAAATAAATCGACAGAAGTTTCACTTTTATATCCGCAGTGTGGTCAGGTGCAGTAATTTTTACACCTATTAAACAAATAATTTTTTCACTTTGAAGGAGTCTTTTGAAGTTCTGGCCCAAAACACATAGTCCCAAAGAAGTGATGTTTTTAAATGAACTGGAGGAGCTACTCGATGTCATCGAACCAGCTGAATTTCAAAAAGTTATGGAACCGCTGTTTCGGCAAATTGCCAAATGTGTGTCGTCACCACATTTTCAAGTCGCCGAACGTGCGCTTTACTACTGGAATAACGAGTATATAATGTCGCTGATCGCTGATAATTCACAAGTCATATTGCCGATAATGTTTCCGGCATTAAATAGAAATTCAAAAACGCATTGGAACAAAACGATACATGGACTTATTTATAATGCACTTAAGCTGTTCATGGAGATGAATCAACGTCTTTTCGACGAGTGTAGTCGAAATTACCGTCAGGAAAAGCAGCTGTAAGTATAACTTTTTATTTATCGACACTTCCTGACTGAAGTTAGTCGCATTGACGCATGTGATGACTTTTTAGGGAACGCGAAAAGATGTCGCAACGCGAAGAGCTTTGGATGCAGGTTGAGTCTTTGGCCAAAAGTAATCCTGAGTGGCCAAAAATGTGTGGTCAAATGGACAATTTAAGTATTTCAAGTAGTCAAAACGAGTTTGAAGAAAATGAGAATTGTGATCTGACTTACGACAAATTTGAACAAGAAAACAGACAACAACAGATGCAACCCCAACAACAAGCAGCACAGGAAACTAGAGAGGTGAGCTAAACAGAAAGCATTACGCCATTTTTGTAGGAAATATTTCATAACCGAAGAATCAGTGGTGCAAAGTTTGTAGTTGTAACAAATGTTCCTCACCTTCATTGACAAACTATGTATATAATCATGAGTATATGTTATACTTTAAGAAGTGTCATGGTTATAACATTTTTATTCAGTGATTTCTTTTTTACCTAGAAATAAAATATACAATGTCGGTCATTTAGTTCAATGGTGGCATAATACAAAATACATATTACAAAATCGAGTTAAGTATGCAGAAATGACCGCTACCTGTTCTTCTATGTTTGCAATAGGAACAGCGAGAATATAATTGTTCGAACAAAATTATTCAAATTCCAGGTAAACATTTCGGTGCCCAGAAATACTACATATCGAGCCCTAACCGCCAAAATAACGTAAGCGATATTTTTTTCAAAATTTTCTTTTTGATACAGAAATGCATTTAGATGCTCTAGGAATATTTCTACATCAAAAAGAAAATTTTAAAAATAATATCGCTTACGTTATTTTGGCGGTCAGGGCTCGATATGTAAATTCAAAACTTTAAAGCTATTTTTCTCGAGCTTTTGGTTTTTTGAGTTATGACAATATTGAAGTAAATGAGTGATATGTGTGTCTATGTATGTGTGCTTTTGGAATCTATACATCATCTCCCCAGTGTATTCCCTTCCCAGTAACATTATTCATAACCAAAGCATCATTTCCTTCGTTAACTTGTTCTTTTTCATCATAGTGTCGGTTTCATATTTAATAAGTGCACCAAGCAAGTCTGGAAATTTTGTTACCTCTATTTTATCGGTGAAGTATTTAGTATTCTCTACGATATCCTTTATCCATTCTCTTTGAAGGGCCTTACGCATATATTTATAAAATGCTTGCATTATCTTTAATCAAATAAACCGCTTTTAAAATTACTAACACTTTGGTTCAATACCAATCAAATTATGTTGGTAAAAAAAAAGCAGCAACATACATATTTTATTTCAGTTGTAAATAACATAATAATGTGAACATTAAAAACATTACAAATAGCTACCTACATACATGTGTTTAATATCACATAGATGAATACACTAAAAACGTACTGATACATATGCATATTTATAGAAAAATAAACCTGTTAACATCATAAAATAGCATATAGAGTCCACATAACTTCTCCTTAGAACTCTTAACTCTCCGTATGCAATACAATTTCCTGTGATTTCCATTGATACGCTTAAATACAATACATCTACAATATATTCACTAACATGCATACATTGCATTCCAAATATTCGTGTGATAAAATATACAAAATGGCTTTTAATTGATATGCTATAACAATTTGCAACTTGCGAAACTACTCATTTACAATAGGTGCGAGGTGAACGCAATAAAGACAAGCCGTTGTTAAGAAAAAAGTCGGACTTGCCTACTGACAGTGGCACAATTCGTGCTCTAATCGAACATAAGCGGCCGGATGACTTCTTAAAGACACCACCGGATGTCAACAAATACTAAGTTAAATATTAAGGCGAAGCATATGGCAAAATCGGAGCCAGCGACACTTGCACACGACTTGATAATCAACATATATAGAAATATACAAAAAAATAAATAAAATGGAACAATGAATAATATTTAAGTGTACGTGATGTACATGCAATTATTACAGTTTAACAATTTCAATTTTCATTAGACCCAGGTACCATTAAACTTTAATAATTTTAAGCTTAAATTAACTCAAATTAATTATTCGTATATTTTTTTTTTGTTGTATTCGCCTTAAAAATGCAAAAAACAACATAGTCTATATGAAAGCTTGAAATGACGTGAACTAAATTATCCATGATTATTATACATAAATATAATCCATATTGTTATAATCTAAATACATATATATCAGTCAAACCTTTTAAAAACAAATGAAAACTATCACATGTGCGATGCTTTGCTTGAATTCGACTTGAAAATACATACATACGTATAAAACCAAGATTTAAATAATAATTTTATTTATTAACACATCTGTGTATGTACATTAGGGCGGTCCAAAATAAGTAAAGTCGGAATTTTAATGCTCCACCTCCTAGGATTATTCTATATCGAAAAAAGTATACCCCTATTTTTTATTTTGAAATCAAACAATGTTTAGAGGTCCCTCAAAGCGTTTAAAGCCTTCCATGTATTTTATAAGGGGGGGGGAAGACTTTTCATAGAAATTGTATAGAATTCTTGAAAATCGTTATTTTTCGATCGGAAAACTCCGATTCTCTTCAGAACACTTCCAATAACAATACCCAAATAATTATCTATGAAGTGCAGAAGGAAAGCGTGTTGAACGAAAAATTCAATCAGACAAATTTCTTGTAAGCATCAGACTTTATTAACATGGCGATATCCTGGGAGGAAGTAATCTCTTCAAATCTTCATAAGATTTCAACTACTTGCAACTGCATTTGAATTAAAAAAACTTCAAAATCAATATACAGTATCGGTCATATCTATAGCACGCCATTTCAAAGTGATATTGTGTGCCACTTATGTTTATTTATTTATTTTTAAGAATTTTCAATTAAAATTTAGTTCATTCTCAGACAAACCCCATATATACCCACGTTTAACAATTTGTAGAAAACTTCAAAAAAGTGCAAAAAAATGTCACCTAAATTTCAAACTTTTTTCTCGGAAGTGTTAGATTTTTTTGAGTACACAGTTTTTTAGCCCCTGCAATTTTGGTCTGATAATGTGCAAATTACAAGTGGCTACGATTTACCGTTCATTTTTTAGAATGTTTTTTGTCGCATTGGCTTCCATATAATTAATAAACTCAATTTATTTGTATATGAAAGAAAACCGCAACACCTTTGGCGAAAAAAATTCTAAAAAATCAACGGCAACCTTTAGCCACTTGAAACTTGCACATTATCAGACTAAAATTGATTGGGCTATAAAACTGTGTATTCAGAAAAATTCTAACACTTCCGAGAAAAAAGTTTGAAATTTATATGAAAATTTTTTGCACTTTTTTGTAGTATTCTACAAATTGTTAAACTTGGGTTTATATGGGTTTTGTTAGTGAAAGAACTATATTTTAATTGAAAATTCTTAAAAATAAATAAATAAACATAAGTGGCACACAATATCACTTTGAAATGGCGTGCTATAGATATGACCGATACTGTACATACATATGGGTAATTTTCAAACAAAGTTTCAAATTTTCAACAAAGTAGTGGTAAAAATGAAAAATCAAAAACAGCATTATACGATCCAAATAATAAGCCACCAACAAAGCTGTTTTCTTTTGCGAACGGTATTACTTTGATATATTTTACCTGCTCCGGTTATTCGATCATCAACATGGAAAAAAGTTTAAACAACAGCTTAAGTATGAATTTAGCTTGCTGCAATAGCCAGAGCGAAGTGGGGCTATTGTAGTGCGGGTCTCCCCATTTTGCTTGCCTGAGTGCATTGCAGTTAAGAGATGTTTTCGTTTCTACCGAAAAATTTTACCTTCTCATTGCCCTCTCAGCAAAAACCCTAAAGAAATCAAAACGCAATTAATAAAAGCAATTATTTTGTATTTTAGTGAATTTACCATTGCACCATGGTAAGTAAGGCTAAATATTTCCGGAATGTCACCCTGTTTTTTTTATGCAAAAAACACTAAAAGTAAGATAATTACCAATGTCTGTTTATTGCTTCAGGAGTTTCAATGATTGCCTTGTTGTTGTTGTTGTTCTTATATTTTGGTGAAATACGATTCTTAAGGCAGTGCACTTGTGCACAAGTGTATTATTATTAATATGTGTAAATTTTTGAAATCGGACTAAAATTACCGTTACGGTAAATCTCAGAAATACGAAAATTCCGATATTTCAATAACTAAACACGCCAACTTACAACAATGTCTTAACAAGACACAGTTATTATTGATTTTTTTTTTAAATGGGCGTGGCACCACCCGCTTATGACTACATTCATAAGTGTATGTGATAGCCCCCTTATCGATTTCCACCAAACTTGCTACAATTATTTCAATATCTCATAGCATATAATCGACATCGGGAAAAGTACTCTTGCTTACCATGCAGTTTACTGAAAGGTGAAAAAACGATATTTGATACGTCCGCCGGGTAAATAAAGTTCGGTTTCGCCCGAACTTATACTTCTTTATTTGTTTATATTAGGCTATTGGTACAAAATAAAAGAAAAAATTGGGACGACAATTTTTTTGTAGTCACACGATTGCACATTAGGTCAAATGTTTCATTTGGCTGTGCGAAAGTCCAATTTCGGAAACGCAGTTTTACATTATTTTTTGATGCCATTCTGTAGAGAATACTCCAAAATAATAGAAACTTAACTTTGTTTTTGTAAAATAAAAATCACCGTTAGACAGCAATCAAACAAAGTTACAGGAAAAATCTTAAGTGAAAATGAAGGGTTTTATGAAGACTAACTGCTTTAGGAATCTCTCCTCAAGGCATATCTGCGAGACATGTAGTAAATTTTAATTTTTTTTTATTAAGAGACTTCGATAATATTTTTTTTTTAATCTCTAGATGAAACCATTTATGTACATATGACCATACTTATTTTATTTATGTAGCTCAACCCCCCTCCGGGTTGAGTATGGTAAGAAAATAATTTGTTTCAAAACCAAGCTATTTGGACAATGTTTTCGAGAACTACATATACTCATCATTTGAACTTCTGAAAAGTCTGTTTTACGAAAGCCAAGTCATGTTTTTACATGTTATTTACTGACTCTACACTTTTTTTTAACGGATTCCATCCTTTTACATTAAAATAATGCTATATTTTAGCTGCTATTATTTTCGCACAGAAAAAGTAATCATTTGACCTAATGTGGATTGGTACAATACAGCGAATTTCTACTTAAAAATTTGAACAAATTGGTTTTCGTGACTGGGATAAAGAAAAATATATGTGTCCTAGACGATTGGGATACGATTTGCACAAAATTTTGGGCAAATGCCTGTGACGGGGTCTTAAAAATAAAGAATTAAATATTTGCAGAATGTCACTTTTAGGCCGAAAAGGATTTTTTATTTAAATAACTTATTCCTCCAAAAGTGTTCAAATGGCATAAATGGGAAGTGGTTGCCGAAGAAGTAAACCCCCACGTTAATGTTATGAAGAAGGTGGATAAAGCTGCAACATAAGCTTATCTGATAAATGAGCTTTAAAGTGATATGCAAATGTTTAAAAAACATGCATTTAACGTAAAAAATCAGTACAATGCTTATCCGTTAGTATACCTTTTTTCTAACAGTTTCTAAACTTATTTATTACTTTAGCTTACTTTTAAAAAGGTGCCATTCTGGAAAATATTTTACAATGATGTAAAAATAAAAAATAAAAATAATTTTTTAATAGCCTGAAAGCAGTATCGTATTCTGTACAAATTTTCAAGTCAGTAATCGAATTCTGAGGATAAATTTATCAATCTTAAAAAAAAAATATATAACATACCAGCCATCCATGTCCACTTTGGTTGGAAATGACACTTGCAAAAAAACACAGCCAAAATCTAAAAGCGCTAACCGAAATAACATATTTTTTTGTCGTACCTATGACAAAATTGCAATAGTTACTTATGGGAAAATATAATAATAAAAAAAAAACAATACATACGCTTGTAGTTCAGGGAATAAAGACAAAAATAAAATATGCCTAACTTCGGAATGGCTAGATTATTACACTGGCCTTCCTTTTGTGGTTTTAAGCAATCCAAGTTCTGTTAGAGATGTTACGAGTGGTCAAAGATCACAAAGAACTTTTTTTCGAAAATCTTATTGTTCTTTGTTTGTGAAAGCATAAAACTTTATGAGTATAAAAAAATAAAAAATGGCGCTTACACATTGTTTAGTGCTATTAGTAATTTTTTTCATTTGCATTTATGCCTGCTCTTCTACAAATCAAGCACTAACCCATAAAATCGAATGTTACTCATACGCCATGTACGAGTAAATTATTTTTAAATTTTGTCTCTGTTAAAAAGAAATAAGAATAATAAAATAAAGCATCGGTAAATATCGGTTTTAAATTGGTTTACAACCAAGAAACATACGTACGTCAACGTACCGATAACTTTAGACATTGCTTTATTTTTAATCCAACCTTTAAAAATAAAGTGAGCTTTAAAGTTAAAGGTTACTTCAGAAAACGACCCTTAACGAGCAATTATTGTATATCTATATCCATAGGGTTCTCGGAAACGGCTCTAACGATTTTAATGATATTTTGTACACAGATAATGTTTTGGATTTTAAGGTTATCTGAATAGGCACTAACTCCGAGAAGACTCGTATAAGGTTGCCGCCTATTCGAAATTAGTTAAAAATTAATTAAAACACCATAAAGACGCCTAATTCAAAAATATTTTTAATAGGGTTGACACTAATTTTGTATCGCAAATTTATGAAATTTTTTGTTTAGAAAAAATGTAAAATATTGCCATTCATAGGTACCAAGAGAAGGTTCTTAAACATTGCTTTCCCAATATACAAAATGTTATCCCTTGGGATAATAGTGTACGGTCGCCGCTTATTTTCGATTCTACACAATTTATCTAAAACGTTGCAATATGGATATCAAATGAAAGGTATTGTTGAGAACTTTGGTCCGAAAATATTTTCGATCAGGGTTGCCACGCTTCTATGTAATACAAATTTTTATTTTGTTAATTTCAATCAGAATTTTTTTCAC